GAACACAGGCGTTGTTGGCACACGTACGTGTCTACTCTTGCATGTGTTGGGGTCGGAGAGGCGGCGTGCACACGTAGGGCTGTGAGTGCGTGTCGTGGGCACTAGTGGTCCGAGCGTTGAACGTCGCAGATACAAATGCGTCACAGCCTTTTTTTTCCCTCGGCAACTGATCATTATTACAATAATATAAGCTAGTCTTGACGTAGATCTATGTAATGAATTGAGCGCTGGTCTATGGAATCAAAAGTTGCCGTATGCTAGGCTCTACACAGCACAACATTTTTGGTAAACACTCGAGATGACACACGCGTGTGTATTTGAACGAATCTGTCTTTTTTTTTTCACATCTCATAATATGCAGGCATTTCAGGCACTACTTGTGACTTTTCTTTATACATTACTTGCTCAATGCCTGCAATTATCTACACAAAACCTTGTGTTTGCTATAACGAACACTCGGATTCAGTGAGATTCTAGGTCAGGCCCGGCGACCTCGTTGAATCCGAGTTCCACTGTACTGATATTTGGTAGAGGGTAGTAAAATTATTTAAAACGACCCCATTCAATAGTCATTAGTCAGTTAATAGGTGAAAAGCAGGACCTAAGATTTAATCGTCTGTCCTTCAAAGCAGGGGATCCAATGTGAATCCTGGTGCTATTTATAAAATAAATACTTCACGTTTTTAAGGTTTGGCTTTCTCTTAATCTCACTGAAGAGCTAATATAACTGCATAATGTGAAAACAAATTAGACCAAGTATGTTCATACATTTTATGAACCAGTTTGTAGCAGCCTGCTCATAGTCCTCAGTAATCTTTCTGCACTTGTAACGGTGGTCGGGTCCTTCCCATGCAATGCACTCCATCTTCCTCTGCCTCAAAAATTTCACAATATTGCTGTCAACTTGTCTGGGGAATAAGAAAAAACCCATTAAGATATAATATAACATAAATAAAATAACCACCTTTGATTAAAATGGGGTCTTTATTAAGGCAAAACAAAAAAAGTACATCCCAGTCTACTCGGGGAAAAAAATTACGAGAAACAGCATAGACGTGCCAGTGTTGCAAAGTTGTTATCTATATCTTAATCATTAAAAGAAAAGGACACAGGCTCCCTCCCCTTTCAGGTGGCCTCAGGCAGTTCTAAAATTATTAACTATTTTTTTCTCCGTAATATCTGATAATAAAATTTCTTGTTATAATATATTTCCACTGCACAGTACAGTGAACAGTGAATTCAATGAGCTCATACTCAAGTAAAAAAGAGGATCCTCCATTCTAAAAAATGTATTAAAATAAATAAAATACCTCGTATTTGATGAACGCTTAAACAAACAAAATCAGATTCAATGAAGTCCGTAGCAGAATTAACAGCACTTCTGATCTGACTTGGCACATTTTCCCTGCAAAGAACTTTGTCTATTCTATTCCAAGAGAATGCTAATCACTCAGCACTATGGATCATGGAAGAGTCTACGTTCTCTAATGTTAGAGAATGTATACAAGTTGTCTACGTTCTCTAACGAATAAAAAAATAACAATATTAAATTTGAACTTTCAAATAAGGCTAGGCTACTTTTCAATCTTTCTTTTTTTTTTTTCAAATTGATTTATATTATGTTTTGTCATTAGATCTACATTAAATAGGTCCGCCAGTCCACTAATTGAAATGGGTTGTTTCATGCACAAGATCTAGGCATATCGTAGACCTAGCGTTGATATGACTGACTTGACCTTGACCCACGTGATTTGATTTCATGAGTGATATCACATCACACACCAAATCGACAATGTTTTTCCACACATATGAATTTGGTATCATTTATGGTCTCTCACGCTGTATCGCATAGGCCTACCTTGACTTTGAGGTCAGAATACAAAATCGCATGTAAACTGCAAGCTATCTTCTAAATAAATACTAATTACAGACGGCCTGATCTTCAAAGTTTTTTTTTGGGGGGGGGGGGGGGGGGGGGGCATCAAAGTGCACCTTCCTTGGATGAAAAGTGGAGGCCTACAACATATTATTTTTTTTATTATTATGAAAAGGGTGGGGGTGGGGGAGTGGTGTCATCTCGGTGGAATGATAGAAGGTGTTGGTTGCTTGTTAGGGGTTTAACGTCGCTGTAAAGGCAAGATGCGGTACTGTAGACAGCTTTACTTTCGCAAGCATTTTAATTTCGCGAAAGTAAATTAGCTTGCGAAAATAGTAAGCACTGTGAAAGCAGCAATGTCGACTTGTTTCCATGTTAGAGTGAGCAAGCTTTTTTTAGGTTCTCTACTAACATTAGAGAACGTAGACAGCTTGTATACGTTGTCTAACGTTAGAGAACGTAGACACTACCATGGATTATTACATGCTTATTCAGTTATTGCATATACACTGTATACTACTATGACTGACCTGTCAGAAACATACAGCTATCTTACACTACACAATGTTTTTAAAGATAAAAATTAACTCCACTTCCTCATAAAACACAATATAAAATTTTAATATATATTTATTCTGATTTGGGTACAGATTTACTCCAAATTTTGTACTGATATTCAGACTTCTGTAACTCTCAAGTGGTAGGGCATACTGCTTGCAGTCTGCACCAATTTTTCTTCTGTTTTATTGGAAAAATAAAGTGTCACTAAGCACTGGATCCCACCTACCCAAATCTCAGAGGGTTTGGAACCATAGAGCTCTCAATACATTTCTCCCACAAATCTGTTAAGACTAGAAACAAAGTAGTAACAAAAAGAGACCAATTGCATATGTATAATTTGAACTTTGCTGTGATGTAAGCTTTTTCTGACACCTGTTTTGATGCTTTTAAATTATAAATGTCAGAAATATAATTCAAGTCTGTCAGGAGTATCACAAAAGTGTCTGTGACACTATAAATTGTTACGTTCGTTGCAAACAAAATGGTTCAAATCAAGCTATATTTTATTATTCCACAAGGAGCAGAGAAAAAGAGAAAGAGACATCACAGGAGGTAGATATCAAAGTAATCTATGTATTCATAATCATACACACATACTTGTCTCGGTAATATTGCTGGTCTGCTTCGTATATACACACAGGGTCTTCCAAATCACACTGATCAACCGTGGGAACTCTGTTGAATCTACGGTGATAGAATTTTTCAGTACTCTTGGACTGAAGAGGTTCAACAATTTTTTCTGTGGACAATAAAAAACTGGTCATTAAAAAATTAAAATGTGGTTGCCTCCATTTTCCTTGATCAAACACAGCCTTCTAACCTTCTATGGAGACAAGACCAAAAAAGAAATTTTATTTTAAAATGTAACAGATTTATCTACAAAATAAATCATCTATTGACCAACCAACAAAACTAAAGAATATAATTTTTTTAAATGTTGTTGAAAAGACAAGACATAATGAACAGAATGAATAGAAAGACGCCTGTGTGTAAGTGTAATAAGCCTTGTATTGTCTGTTGATATATATGCGAGGCAGTGTGGTGAAATCAGGCGCTCGTCAAAATACAGAAATCGGAGAAACAGGCATTTTTCCGGCAGTTTGGAAATGTTTAGAATTTTTTTTTTTGGCTCAACCTCTTTTATGTCTATATAAAAACACATTTCCAGGAGAATTTTACTGAAAAACATTAATTAAAGGCACAAAGTTTGTCATTTTTCTGTTTACAAGGACCCTTTAGCTTTTGGATTAATCAACCTTCGCCACCTATTTTCTCGCTAATTTCACCACTGAAACAACGCGACCTCACTTCTTTCAATCGTTAATATTTCCAGTTATATTACAGATAGATGGATATCTATTTCATTGAAAGAAAGGCAAATAAATCAGCTTTCAGATGATACAAATAACTCCCCATGCCCAAAAATTTACGAGTGCCTGATTCCACGGCCCCCTGACACATGTTATAAGCACTGTGGCCGTTGGTGTTCTGAATACAAAGTAAACACATATATTACTAGCTCGAATTTGTCAGGACCAGCCTCGGTAGTTCGAGGGATCCGTAGTCTAAGGGATACGTGAACAGTGTTGTGGCATCGGCTGTGTCTGAGAATCAAGGGAAGCAACAAAGATTGGGTCGGAACAGAGATTTTTTCTTTTTCAGCCACTGTCCTTGATCAGCCTATTGACTTGAATTTGAAAGAATTTGAAATTGATAGACTGAGAATGAGAAGCACTATGGGCAACGCTTTTGAGTTCGATTTGTAATGAGCCTACCGGTACTAACCTTAAGACAGTTTAATTGCACGAATCAGTGGGAGCGGATTTTAGTCAGCACCAATCGAATGGTGCTGTTTCAAAATTTTCAAAACTTAAACGATTTGACAAGATAAGCATACCCCACCTCTCCCACTAAGCGCGCAGTCCTTTGCGAGACTGGTGGGGCGACCGATCGTGTGATGCACAACCCCTCCTCTCACACGCTCTACACAAGCCTAGCTAGGCCTAGGACCTAGGCACCCGTGCCAAGCAGCGTGCTAAAAAAAGCACAGCTAGCTGCTTCTGTGGAGGGGAGGGGGGTGGCAGTGAGACATTTTACCGACCTTGCCTTTTTCCGTTAAAAAAAATAAAATTATTAGGTCTTATTATTATTTTGTCTCAAGTGTACGTCAAAGGACATTGACTTTAGACCTCTACGGCGGCGTAATTAGTTTGACTCTTCAGTGTTTGTGTTTCGAGCTTCACGTAATTTTCTGACAAAGATAAAGTAAAGATGAAGAAAAAACGGGACCGCAGGCACAGTTAGACGGACGCATGATTTCGAGTAATCTGAGTTCGACCTATCCAGGTTATACTGTATTCCTTTGTAAATATTGAGGAGACAACGTCAAATAAAGGTTTGAGCAAAGTATTTGTGACATCAGTGTATATGACACTATGTGGTGCAAAAGTATACATGTTGATTTCGCGATGCACATGTGTGCAAGACTTTTATACACCACCCTTTGGATGCATATCAAGGACTACTACAGGGCTTGAATTAGGCACTCAGGAGGACAGGCAAAAACTGCCTCGGTGGGGCCTAAAAATAAGAGCTGGGTCGCGAGCGAGAGAACGGAACTGAATCGCCACTCTTGCTTGTGGAACGCGATTCACGATTCATTTCAGCGGAACGCAGAAGAGTATCGCCTTACTTATGATTCACAACCCTGTCGCTGTCACCATCTTGTGGCAGTTTGTAACCTACTGCTGAGTCGAGTCGCGAGTGAAAGAATGGAACGGAACGCTTAGTATGACTCCCCTTATTTTACAAAAGATGGTAGTCCAACCCCCCTATTAAAACAAAATGAATGGGTCCAACCAATAGACAGAAGGAATTTTATGGAGCCATTTTTTAGCGAATCATGTCATGGGGGGGGGGGGGGGGTAATTTATATGGCTGCTAATTGAGGTCAGTAGAGCAGCATAACAAAGGGTGGGGGACGGAGAGGACGGCGGGACAACAAGAATGAGACTCGCCCACGCCAAGTTGCGTTGATATGACACTGTTCCGTTTCAGTCAGCGTTCCGCCGCAGTTTCGTGAGCGCTCGCGATGCTATGGAGCCGACTGAATCGCGAATCACCACTCTCGGATTTGGCAAGCAGGATCCAGCTCTACTAAAAATCAAAGGGCAGCGAGGCAATTTGCTAGGCAATTTGCGAAGCCCCTGAAAAAATTGAAATTTAGTGCTTTTAGAGGGTAGAAAATGGCATTTGGGAGCCTGTTTGAAGAGATTGCCTACAACCCATAACATTTGTCTTTTCATCAACATTTTGTCTTGTTTGACTTCATCACCAACATATCTTTCCATTGATGGCAAAGTTTAAAAGCAGGTTCCCCTTTCATTGCTACTATAATTCAATTAATTTGTAGTCGCACCATTGATAGCAGGCAAACCTGGGAATAATGAATAGATATACCTTCAAAATAGAGTTGCGCAGCGTATAGATTTACCCAAATTCTTTCTCAATTTTCATGTCTGAATGTTGCCTGTCACAACCTCGGAACACCACTTCCACTTATTCTTGATTTTACCTATGGCTGGATCAGGCCGATCCCATCCATAGTGGGCACGCCCGTATTAGCATATCGCTGGTGGAGTGATGAAACCTCGTAACCCCAGAAAGGAAAATTTTACAGGAGAGACAAAAAACTGATTTACTCTTGAATAAAATGACCTTAAGAAACCAAAGTTGGTACAGATAGATAAAAACACGTTAGAAACGTGGTTAGCATATAAAAATAACTTCTATATTGTTTATGTGGTTACGCTGTGGGATGCGAGGTTTCATTACACCATTTCAGTCGTGATGAAACCTCGTAGTCAGCCGGCGGGTGGGTTGCGATGTTTCATCAGGACAGAGTTTGAGGGTTGCGAGTTTTCTCGCTGCTCATTTTGGTTGCAGTAAGCGTCTGTTGTTTGAAACGCCACCAAGTGATAAAGATGTTTATTCTAAACCAATTGGTTTGGAGTTCGATTCCCGGCCAACTGAAGTCAAATAAATGTGCGTTACCTGCAGAATTTATGTTTCAATCTTCAAACGGATTGCAATTAATGCAATTTGTTTCACTATAATTTGCCAAGATTAGATCTGGTTACTTCCAGTTTTGCTAAAAAGCACAAATTAATAATAAATCTCTGCAATGTGGTCTCTGTTTGCACTTCAGGTGGTTTTCATAAAAGATGTTGAATCATAATGAACAACCATTAATGTTAATGGTATAAATTGTCATGAAGTGACGATGCACATTGGCAATAACAGATTTAAGCACCTGCAGGTGATTGTACTTGAAGTGCTGGAACTTAAACGTTTTGTGTTGAGTGGCGAGGTAGGATGGACCTTATGTTTCTGTGTCCAGCTTTCGGAACGTCAGCCCATTCATTCTTCAGGTGCATCTTGAACTGGATGTTCATGTACTTCAAACACCTGACAACAGGATCACCCGTTTTTCTACCTAGTCTTATAGACTTGTCGTAGCTTCCACACTTAGAATACTCCTTGAAGAATGTGTGATCCAAATATTTGCTTTGATAAGTTTCTTGTTTTGCTCTTGCCATCATGAAGAAATGGAGATAGTCTTGGAGGAGCTCGATGCATGTTTTCGAAGCGATCCCTTAATAGTAATAGTTGAATTCACACTGTTAATTTCCATTTGTGTGTGTCATTTGATAAAAAGTTTCTGTTCAATTGTGCTTCCGTGTGTTGTTGAAAAAAGGCTGAGAGAAACATTAGCTAGTGTGACATTTCTCTATCGGTAACCACAGTTGTCGCTGTCGATAAGGGTTTTCTGGAAGTCCAGCTTTTCCTTCAGGAATTCCAATAGAGATGAAGCTAACTCATTTGCCATAAGTCCCCATTCTGTTTCATGACACACATAAAAAAGGAGTCTGACGTGTTGCAGCATCCAATGGCGTTAAGTTATGAAAAGCGAGTTTTGTTTGTAATGTAAGACTGATGCTGAAGATCCATTGAAAGTACGGTCGTTTTAGGTTCATTACTGGCGAGAGATTTGATGGCTTCAGATTTAGCTCGTTCCTTTTCTTTGCGCGCTGCTTCCTTTTCTAGAATGTTAGCATTCCAAAGATCCTCCAGCACATTGTCAACTTCACGACTGATGCAAAGGTCGCACATAATATCTATCTTTGACAGGAATAGCGACAGGTTATTCTGCTTGAATGCTTCATCGAGGCCGGGTCTGTTGAGAGGCCGCCTCCTGTGGTCTTGGTAAATTGTGCATATATTTTGTAGATATCTGAGTTGCTTTGATAATTATTGGTTCTAAATGTTTCTTACAAATCATTCATCCAACCCAATCCAGGAACATCTTTGAGCACACTGGCACCTTAGGCCACCTTTTAAAAGTGTTTATTGAAGGTATTCCCTCTCTGGTTAGTCTCTGAATACCTCCTCTGAGGTCCACTAGTCATCCCATGAGAGGGTCCACACTAAATCAAAATTAGAATATCTATCAACTTCAGAGAGCCTTTTACATTTCAGAGTCCAGCTCTTGCAATCACAGTTTGGTTTCAATAACTTAGTTGGGCTTTTCGTTGAACCTTTATGTATTCCAATTCTGTCCTGATCCACGGATAGCTTTTCACTTATTTGTTGCCACTCCTAAAAACCCTTTCTTTTCCTCTTTGGAGCATCATTTATGCTGGCATCACAAATGAGCTGTGTCTCGGGATCAGGCTCCAG